CCTGTTACTCCTAATGGAGCATAGGCTGCTGACCAGCATTCTCCAACCCACTCTATTCTACGCCTTCTTTTCTAGTTCCATACAATTCTTGTTCATTTTTCTCATGTCTATCTCCATTTCTCGACGTAATGTGTTCGTTGGTCTTCCTCTTTTCCTTTGTCCTTGAGGATTCCATGTGAGGGCTTGCCTTGTGACGTAGTTGGTTGCCCTATCCACTTCCAGCACTTCTTCCTGATTTCTTCCTCCGCAGGGATCTGGTTTGTTCTCTCCCACAGTAGGTTGTTGCTAATAGTGTCCGGCCGATGGATCCAAAGTATTTTGCGTAGACAACTGTTAATAAACATCTGTATTTTCTGGATGATGGCTTTCGTAGTTCTCCAGGTTTCTGCCCCATACAGTAGAACTCTCTTGACATTTGTATTGAAAATCCTGACCTTCGTGTTGGTTGACAGTTGCTTTGAGTTCCAGATTAGACAAGTGAAAAGCATAATCACAGTTTATCCAGCTGATTGCAATCGAGATCAAACCATCAGTTCCACTTTAGTGGACAAAAACATAAAGTACTAACTAATTAGAGTAAATCTATAATGATTTACTAAGAATTTAGTCAGTTTGATTAAATAAAAGGAAGAATCCCTGGTCATAAATATGCCTGGATAATCAAATTGTTCCAGTCATTCCATGAGAATATACTGGTAATAAAGTTATAGATGATATTACACAGTATAACATCTTCAAACCCTAATGTTTCCGATTACTGCTTATACTCTTACTACCTCTACCACTACGGAATGTGAGTCAACAACTGCATCTCTGTGGCAACTCGAACTGATATACGTACTTACGAAGTTCTACGTTGTTACTGACTGACTGATATCAGTGAAAAAAATGAACTTACAGGTTAACTCATTTAATCAAGAACTAGATTTAAAAAATTGTTGAGATTAATAATTTATACGACAATTTGAACTCATTGTAGTGTGTTGTTTGGATTTGTGCCTTTATATATTTAAAATTAAAGAAAGTCGTTTTTCGCATTACCGGACACCAACCAGTGCATACTGATTTCTGTGTACACTTCACTTGGCAAAATGATTCAGATTACTTTGATTTGTATTTTTAAATAAAAAATAGGAGTTGGAACAAACATTTAGAAAACTAGTTTATTTTATTGGTCCACCACGTAATTATGGTTTATCTGATGAAGAAATTGAAAAGCAGCGATTAATTGTGGAAAAGCAACGTATTGAATTTGAAAGAGCAGAGGAGGAAAGGTTAAAACAAGAAATTGAAACTGCAGAAGCTGAACGTAATCAACGTATAAAAGAATGGGTAAGATGTAGACTTTTTTTAAATAAAACGCTCCTCACATGTTTACATCTGTGACAGGATGCAGAAGACATGTGTAGATTGCAAGTATTTGATAATAGGTCGTTAGGATGTTTTATGCATACCCAATCACTACCTGCTCCGATGTTCTCTGTTGACTGGTATAGAAGCTAGTATGAAAAATCAGAACAATACGTTCCTAGATAAAAATGTTTGAAGTAACAAAATTCTGTGTCAGTTGACATTCTCGATTCGTGTATCAACTCAATAAATAACCCAAAAAATAGGATGATTTAGAATACAAAGATACTTATTATTTGTTGCATAAAAAAATCGATAGAAATAGGAAAGAACTAAAGGGCTCACAAACATGGCATTGGAACCATATAGGGAGCATCTGCTCCCTCATATATGCCCTGCTAACGATTGCCAATTATTACGAAACCTAGGTTCAGGATTTTCCGATCTCTCCAAATACTTGGTATGAGAATGGACAAACGTATTTATGAAGTACAGCTACCAAAATTTGATTCATGTGTCAAGTCCCCAACATCTAGCTGCAACTGCCTCGCGGACTCAAAATCGCCTATGTCTACCACTTCCAAGCAAAAACTTCTGATTTATCATTAAGGATCAATAACATTTTAGGTGGGTATCAACATGACACGTTAGATTTATGCTATATCTCAAATGTTCAAAATAATTGCAGCTCAAGTCTGTGAAACACCTATCAAGTGATATAATGATACGCCTAAATTAAACTGGGAGTTTCGATCACGTAAACAAATTCTGCAATACATATTAAAGCTGTATCGTGCGGTTATTTCCTTCTTGAATTTTCTATAAAAACAAGTGGTCTAGTTCTGAAACTTCTTAAAGGATACATCATCTTCGTTTGTTCTGTCGGCAGGTTTTTCATGCAAAAGGTATAAAGTACCTCGTGATTTTGTAAGCCCTATACCAATTATTGCAGTAGTGTTAATAGGCTTCATCAGAAGTTATTAAAAAAATTTGCGTCACTTTTGGCGTAGACGATAAATCCGTCTGCCGAACAAAGGACGAGTTTACTAATCTGCAGTTCGCTCCACCCCACTCTACGGGTGTTAAACCTTAGTATATACTGTTGAATACTTTTATATAATGCTATAAAGGCTGATTTGATATCGACCCTATGATGCAATTAGCCTTGAATATAATCGTTCTATACAAAAATTCCAAATTTACATTTGAATTTTTGTGAATAAGAAGTGAGAACTCAATAAAAGTAAAATGTCACTTAACGCTACACAAAGAATATTGTACACATTGAACGATTTATGAACAATACGCCAATCCGCCAAAGAACAAATGACAAGGAAAATCCAGCATAACATATGAGTAGATAGATACTTTCATATGTATACTGATACATTTATATGTAACTGGAACTTTCATAGAACTGTCAACTTATCTTTGTTTTTCTCTTTTAGAAAGAAAAACAGGAAGCTTTGGAAAAAGAAGAAAAAGACCTATTAAACAAAGAATCAGAACCATTAAGGGCTTATTTAAGAAAGCATATTATGCCAGTATTAGCAAAAGGATTAACTGAATGTGTTCGTAAACGTCCAGATGATCCGCTGGATTTTCTAGTAAGTATTTATTAAATGGAATTAGTGGTATTTAAATTTGATATATTTTAAATGTACAAGCATTGCCATAATAGGATATTTTACTTGACCCTACAATTAACCTTAAAAAACTACGAAAATTTAGTCAGAATAAGTTTAGTACTCCCTACAATACTTTATTTAACTCATAATATATTGTAAGTTAAGGATTAGATAACACTTCATCATGTGTGTTGTTACAAAATACCCTCATATGAAATTTAGCGGTCGACAGGAAATCCTAGACCTAGGATTCGTGCCATTTAGTACTTGTCAGTAAAAGGTTCCTGCAATCTTGAAGGGACTGGTATTTCCTCCGCGGACCCAATCCTGTCATCTAGCTTCACAGTCTGATGTATTACCATTGAGTTGTTTCCCTCACAGCTGACCGCCTGCAGAGCTACGATAAAAGGGACTAAGCAAACACAATATTGACCACTATGCAGTAATCCATTAATTGCAAATATCAATCCTACAGTAGGTCCATCGCGACTTGAACAGCTCACTGGCAAGGTTTCAGACTGTGAAGCTGGGTGAAACAATGTGAAATATTTCAGGGTGTATCAGTTCCCTTAATATTACAAGTACATCTTGCTAAGAAGTGCTAAATAGTGCAAAACCTAGATCCAGAGTTCTTTTATCTACTTCCACCTACAATATTTTATATTACATTACCATCAGCAAAATAAGAACTTTGGAAAAAGGTGTATAGAACACATATGAAGTCCCGTGTTCAATTTAATCAAGCATAATATCATCAAGTTTATATCAAACTAAAAAAGTTTCTGCATTCGTTAACTGTTGTCATTGGAATTCTTTGGTGATTATTCAAAATGTCTACAGAATAGCGTAAATTATAATTCGACAACATTAACCAAGTGCGACAACCAACGACAAAACCTTTGACGGATGCAGATTCATTTCAGTTGCTAGTAGCTAGTATTAACCGCACCAATGAAAAAACAAACATTTACATATGATGCCCTATATATGATTGATAGCATGAGTAGATTAACAGAGGAATAACAAAAGCGAGCGAAATTCGCCTAAACTTGAAACAGTGGGATTAGATACTTTTTACGTAGTAGCAATATTTTGGTTTTTTTCAGAAAGAACTATTAAATTTTGATTGTATATGTAAGACAGGTTAGGACTTCTTTTAAAAGATCATACAAATGATTAGTATAATTATCAAGGCCTGAATTTATAATTTCAAGTAAATTAAGCATTAGGTATTTTGAATGTCTTTAATTTGGTCAATTCCTGGACCAAATTAAAGACATTCAAATCAACAACGACGAACTGATGATATCTTTCGACGTAACAGCACTACTCACCTCAATTGAACCAAAATTAAGCATTAGGTATTTCTATGCTACAAATGATTTCTACACAAACATTTTCAGTAATACTCGTACCATTATCTCAGATTTGTCCACGACTGGAATTTCTTCTAAATACCCAATTAAGTTTAATCAGCTGTAACTAAGATCGTCTGACGGGGTATTAAAATCACAACTAGGGAGGTCTTGTTTTGAAGTTTTATGACTGGAATAACCTTTTATAATGAACTTTAATCCCCAAACAGTAAAACATTACAATACTTAGATGCCAATCTGTTGTATCATGGCCTACTGTAGCATTTTGACTAGGTTAGTGCCGTTTTCTTCCAGGCGTAATTTTTCCCATGTTTTCGATGTGAACAACAGCTTGAACAGCAACGAACTAACATGGAAACGTTGTTTTAAATTACATATCAAATTTCTTACACTAATAAACCGGAGATTAGTAGTGCTTTGAAATCTACTGTACAAATAATTCTTCAAACACAAACTAAATTTACAATTAATTGTTGTAACGGGTGTGTGACTGCAGGTTTTAGATACGCAGCGTAATTTATCGATCGCGATCTGTGACAGTGACACGGAAAACACGTACGGACGACCTAGTGCCCTGATTGGCCCTGCTTCGCTGTCCGTCCTAGCCCAGTTGAGTGAAGAACACAAGTCACAGCCTCTGAGTTATGAATCATGTATTTCAAACATACTGGGTTTATATACCAAGCAAGCAACCCACATCGTACCATAAAATAGGAAACAACATTTGTACAATATTTAACAAGTGAAATAAACATCGACCAATAAGAAATGTACATTTAAGGTTCAAGGACACCATTGAACTTAACATGATAATTATTGGTCTCTTTTTCCGACTGTCCTAACATTAATAAATATTAGTGGAAACAAGTGATTGATGTACATTCATATAAGAAATATAGCAGCATAAAATAAAATAAATGGAATCGCAAATAATAATACGAATAACCAAAATGATTGATTATATAATTAATCGACATGACTAGAATAAAATCAATTCAATAGGTGGAAGTCAGTTGGTCGTACAGCGGTTATTTGGTCATCGATTTGATTCCAAAACAAACAGTCCACGACTACTACTTAATAGTTAATCATCACAACAATGTTGATCCACTTTGTCAAATAGTATAGAATCAAGATTCAATTGCGAAAATGACGAGGATAGTATATTTCGAATAATCAACAAGCTTAAGAATGATACCCAAACTAGAGATAAAAAAACTCAACACTTAGAAAAACCAAGGCGTTAATCGATCCCCAATTATCAAGCAGACAAACAAAACGTAGATTCTTCAAGAGCTGTGATAAACATCCAGATGTACACCAAATAAGGCATTAGTGATTAGTAAAAACAACAAGTGAGGTCGTTTGGTAACAATTACTGATTAAAATTGAACTTACTTTGAGTGGTGATTGTACCAAGCATTTATGTAAAGAGAAGGAAATCAGAGTTAACTGTGACGAACTAATCCCAACTACTTTATAAAGAAGTTTGAAGTGTAGAAGACTGGATGGCGATATAATGATCTAAAGGTCAAGCGCTCGCATACACTCTGTCTTCCCTTAAACTAAGAGATTAAAATCGCTTCGTATCTTTCTTTCTTCCTGTACTATGTCCTTATTGCAATCTTTCTTTTATATATTACCACCTCTGAATTAACTACTTTTATGAATCCGGTGTCCATCTTGTTGTGTTAATGAGGTATGGCAACTTGGACCGATGCATATATGTGCCCGGTCCTACGTTGTAGCTGACTGACCGACTGACAAGCGCTCTCACAGACCTGAAGGGCCTACGTTCGACTCAGTGGGGTCAAGGATGGATACTACTGAAGGGTCTCATCCTAGAACGAAACTTGTTCAGTGATTCCTGATTTTTAATAACTGCCTAACATAATTTAGTTTGTGACATACAAAATAAAATATTACGTAACCCTTGGTTTTCCAGCCGACATCGATAAGCTAAATTTACCGCAACCATATAATTTAACTATATGATAATCTATTTTCTAATATGCGAATCATTGTCAACTTATTAATAGTGTGTCACTCTCAACTATCATAATTTATCATTTTATAATTCTATCTCATTTCAGAATTGCATCCCAACTTTATCAACTAAATTATGTTAAACTTTTATTTTTAACCATATTCCTATTCATAAAATTAGGTAGTTTGGAGTTGATAAGGAGTCTTAAAATAGAATACACATTTATTTATAATGTAACACCTAATCTGTTTAAAACTATCACCGTAACTAAATCTATGAAATCTATGATGATGTCGTTCAGAAGAACGATGAAAGCTCCACGACCAAACCATCCAGCTCAGAGAACTAAACTCCACCAAAATCATCCACCTGAGCTACAAATCTTCTCCACTATGAAAAACTAACATTTCTTTTCTGATTTTTTTTAAATTTCAGGCTGAATATTTGTTTTACAATAATCCTCAAGTTGATTAAAGTTTTTCAATATTCAATTAGATTGAATAAATAAACAAAATTACATCCCATGGAAATGAATAAATAAAATGAAAAGAAATTTAAAGACAAATGACCAACATTTACTTAAAAAGAAAAGAGAACTGATAACTTAACCGTATAAGTACGAAACTTAAAATCTAAATCATCTTTATACTTTATGGTGTTCTTTTGTCAGTAACTTTTACTAATAAACTTCTCAAAGTCATGATAGAAATTATATTCATTATGGACTCTCAATAATATCTGGATAATAGAATTTTACAAACACTAGGGTGTAATTATTATTACCAACTAATAATCTGCAAGTTAATTTGTAAATAATTCTCATAATTTTCTGACTTTATATCTAGGTAACATATTATTCAGTGATATCAGATCATGTATTTTGAGTCGGTGCAAAAAGCTCACTATTCCCTGTTGGTTATACGTCTCATTATGCTATCATACTTGAGAGAAAAAAACATTTTAAGCTACTTAAAATACTTTCGTTTGTTCATCATGGCTTTTGTTTAGTGATTATTACACGAGAAACTTAAATTTCCATAGTTAGGATTTCAAGTAGTAGTGGTTTGTAGAGATTTAGTTAATTTCATCAGCGGAAGAACAGTGAAAAGCATGTAAATACATTTATTCTTACAGATGTGGTGTTGTAAATGACAGCTCAGGTATCTGGATAGGAAACCTGATAGGGAAGTTGCTGGTGTGGGAGACAAGATTGATTTCAGTGCTTCGGTAAAGACCACATCTTGTGATGATGAATCATGATTATTAAGGGCCAAACGTACAACGTTTTAATATGAGTAGCAATACTATAATTGTGAAAATTAACCTCCCATAGGTTAAGGAAGCCAGGAAGTTTTCCATTAAGATTCTGCTACTAAAACAATACTGCTTGTTTTCTGGCAGTAACATTATCTAAGTAATGCTGAAAATTATTAGCCTGTCTAAGCATAATAGAGACTATCGTTTGTCCGGGTGTTTTCGATGCAAACAGCAAATTCGGTGGCTCAGAGGTGTTTTATAAATTAGCTCTTATATCAACCATTCCATGATGAACTGAATAAAAACATATAAGAGAACAGTCGCTTTGCGATATGGATCTGTGAAACACTACTTCTTGGGTAAGGATTATGAACAGTAAGTAACTTAATGTTTTTTGATTTTATCAAGTAGCAGATACATGGATCTAAGAAAACAATAAGATGCTCATGTTCCCAAGGTCCGATTGTGTGTTGAATGTTTTGGTGTCTCAATTCACACACTTCATGTTAGATAAATACATTAATAAAACTGGTGTAAACCATGTTAGATTATAAATACTAAGTGGACTGTTACAAAAACGTTGCAGTTCAACAATATAAAGGGTTGTATTTTCAAAGCAAGAAAATTAATTACAACACTGTACACCAAAATAACGAATTTGGTCTATCGTTTCATTTCCCCAAGATTCTCTATTACGTCTTTATCAATCTACAAGACAAAAATAAATCGTTTGAACTTCATAGTCAGCAAGTAAAAGAATGAGGGCACCAAAACTTAGATTAAAGTGTTAAATAAAAATATTTTTGGATAGGTTTTGTATAGATATGTTTAGTTCCAAAGTGGTATACATCAAAGATTGATTTCAGCTGTGGAACTATAAAACCAGTGGGGCTCGCCAGCTGTTTCGCCCTGGCGTGGAAACCCCTCAGCACTGCGCACCCACGATATTACCAGGGATCGAAATCAGAACTTTCAGAATTCTCAGTGAACGACCTACTACTCGGTCAACTCCCAATGGTATGTATTTTTAACTCCGATCAATTCGCGATACAATGCAACAAACATCCAATGCCGTTGATGAGTACTGTTTTACTCCCGACATGTTTGAATTCCACCGGTCATAACTTCTCACCAATAATCCATAACTCCATCTCGAAACAAGTCACGAAAGGGTACGATTATAGTATGGGTCTTTTTCAATTGGTTTTCTACATTGCTCTAACTGAAAACAGTCAGTAAAGAATACCACCATTATATATAAACTCATAAATAACAATGGGCACCTGTCCTTGATGTATATCGTCTGCGATGAGCTTAACCTAATGTAATTCATTTATCAAGTACTAGTTCGTTCTTAACGTGAGAAGTAGAAATAATGTTCGACTGGTGTACCCGAACTACATGACAGAGGCATCTGAACTGTCTTAGTGGTTAAAAGTCGGATGATTTAACCACTAAGCTTGACAAATCCTAATGAAATTAATTCCTCATATGACTGAAAAAATTAACCGAATATAATGGTTTAGAATTCCTTGTAGGCAATAGTAAAAATCATTAAGGGAAAGTAATAACCTCAACTACCATCACTTTTAAAATGACTACATAAGACTGATACTTTAAGCAGACATCCCATTAGCTAAGAGAATAATCATCCCTTTTCATAATTTAGGTATTTATGTAAGAAAGATACTAAATTTCACGATATGAATAACCAGAAAGTTATCTGGTTGCATATTTACGACAGAACAAAACAACCTTCTATTTATCGGCAGCCTCTTTTTGTCTTTCCCCTTTAACCATAATCATTATTTCTGTTGATAAACTTATCATTTATATATTCTATTCAAATTCTTATTCTCCAACTGTTAACCGTCCCAACCCGAAAATTCCAATCCATGCATTTAACAGTGTATTCTAATTTCCAACAACTCAAATCTTTGTTAATTCAGGCAGCAAGGCTGTTGAACGAACGGGAATATGTAGTTCTGATATATATAATTATTAGAGCTGTATTACTGGAACCAAAGACAGCTAAGAATTTAAGCATGTAAACAAAATGAAAAATATACACTATAAGCATGAAAGAAATGACGAACAGAATGAGAAAAGTAACTCACTTCTGGCCATTTTTCTATTAATACATTAATTAGCTCGTCTTTTACATCTCCTTGAATTACAATTTCATCACCATTCCCCGTTACTGAACTACCGGTTGCAAATTTGTGACCAAATACTTTCGAAGCTGCTTTCAGATCAATCCCTTAATTATGGAAAAACAGGCCGATTGAGTTGTGTTTTAATTCGTCATAAAATTACTATTTCTTGATTGCTTTCGTCTTGATTGATAGTAAAGCATAAGGATCTGTGGCTTCATTTAGTCACAATCGATGCCTAATGATCGAAGTCGGCAGCGGAATATTAGTATTCTACCGTGAATAGTTGGATTTAACAGTACCATTAATAAATTGCAGTATATGGCATCGTTTATTCACGAATCCAATATAGATTTTCAATCATTAAGGTTGATAGTCAGGTCTTAATTTCCTTGGTGCATGAGTAACGCAGAGGTTTGGCATCATGTGTTCGGGCACAGAGATGATAATGCAATCGATGTCACCATCTTGAAACACCGAATTCGGTGGCCTGGACATGTTCTACGAATGTCGTCCCAGAGAATTCCACGTCGTGCATTATTTGCCGACTCTGGGACTGGTTGGAAGAAGCGGAGAGGTGGTCAGTGCATGACATGGTGTCGTGGCATGAAGGAAAGCTGCAAAGGACTGGCTTGTGTTGGTCCTTCACGACTCCCTGGTTGGGGTCCGAGAGATGGTGCTACACAGTGGCTAGAGACGTTATCAGATATGGCTCAGAATAGAAGCCAGTGGCGATCCTGCTGTAACCTTCTTTTACTTTCTTCATAAAAAGTGGTTGTGTCTTCCTTAACTGAAAGATTTCTTCTGATTGTACCTTTCCGTTTCCCCCATTACTACTATTATTATTACTGTTATTGTTATTATTACACTACTTTACACTTATCTATTCGTTATTGTTCTTTTTTTCTCTTCGAATTCTCATTGTTTGTGTGGCGCATATATATTGGCGCACTCTTGTACCAATATTTATGTGTTCAAATAAAATAAAATAAAATGGTGCTTGAGTGATCTACGTAGTCTAAATCTTCTTATGGCTTGAGTTATAACTGACTTCTAACGAAACTCATTTTTCTGTCAATAACTCCTACTCAGGTTATTTCATTCGATAAAACATGTATTATTCTGTATAATGCCTTGTCTTTGAAATTAGTTCATTTGTAGGCTTTAGTTAGTAATACGATATTGTAAGTAGTTATCACGGCCACATCGTATTATCGTATTTCATCTCAGTCACCTAGTCAACAACGCAGAACTTCGTACGTACGTACGTACATCAGTTCAAGTTACCGTACCACATTAGCAGAGATACAATTGTCGACTCAAATCCCATAGTGGAAGAGGTAACAAGAGTATAAGCAGTAATCAGAAAAATTACGGTTTGAAGATGTTATTTAAGGAGTATAATACAGTGAAATAAATTTGAAAAGACAAAAACATTCTATTTATTTTAAAAACCGTTTTTTTTTTAAATCATTAAACGCGAAACCACAACATTTCCGTCAAACTTAAGATGTAGTAACTTGATGTACTTATGTCTTGAAACAAGTCGTATAAATGTTATATATTTATTTAAAAACATAAACATTGGTACAATGAGGCACCAAATAGATATGCGCCATATGAATCATCCGATTTGTGTGAGGGCTGTGATACTGCCCGGGTGCCCAAACCGAAGCAGGTGGTTTTCTTAGGGGGACACTCCCCGAGCCTTCGACCTGAAGGTCTGATCCACAAGGCACTGGAGCATCGTAAGGAGATGCAGTCCCATGGAAGCCGGTGACCAACAATTGGTTCATACGCCATTTGTTACCTCAGGATACTGGAGCTCATATGCACCATTGATTTGGTTTGGGATCCGGTTAAAGCCCCGGACATTCGCCTTTCGTCCTCTCAATTTCGTAAACAACACCCCCGCCGCGAGAAGGCAGTGAGTAGGACTTCCCTGGTAGTGGTTGTATACATGTGGCCATGTGAGAGCATTTCGAGAGAGCTGAATCTCCCCATTCTCAGCCGTACCAGGGTATTTGGGAGCAAAGTGAGAACCACTCCTGGGGTGAGAGTATGTGTAAATGACCAGGTAACTAGATTGGATAAGCAATTAGGCGCACAGTTACACAAGTTCCAACCCAAAATGTAAAATTAGGAGGTACTATCAAGATCACGGAAACCAAAATATATGTACGTTTGAGACATGTAACTCAGTGGTTGAAAATGGGATATTTAAATCAGCCAGCAACAAATCAACTGTATTTTAATCACTCTTGCTGTACATCAGTGTACTGACCGACGATATTAACTCTTTCAATGAACAGGTAAATGGTAACAGCTACACATAGTTTCTAAGTTTGTACTTGTTATATCCTGATGAGAATAACGAATGGTAACTTTTGCGATCCATCTATGGATAAATAATATACGTGTATTTTTATTGTATTATTTTTAAGCTAAACGATGTATATTCATGTTCCTCTTATTATAAGCTTTATTTGTACTTACAAAACTATTATTATACTTCCGATTGCGTCCAAGCTATTGGCTTCCATCATACTTCGTAGGTTGTTCAAAACCCGAGAAAGATTGACTCGCGAGGAGCAGGCTGGGTTTCGTTCTGGTCGAGGATGTATTGATCATATCTTCAACCTCCGCCAAATGTTAGAACATCGCCATACTTATCAAAGGCCAACAATCGTAGTGTTTCTTGACATCAGGGCTGCCTTCGATTCGTTGGACAGGACTGTTCTCTGGGATTGTCTATTGAAGAAGGGTGTGCCTGAGAAGTTTATTAACATCCTAAAAGCCCTATATAAAAACACCTCAGGCAGAGTGAAGGCATACAACCACCTCTCTCCATTGTTCCACTCGAGCAGTGGGGTTAGGCAGGGTTGCCCAATCTCACCATTCCTCTTCAACTTTGCCATCGATGACATTCTGGAAACAGCTCTGATGAATGTAAGTAATGGTGGTGTGGATCTGTTGCCTGGAGAAAGACTTCTCGACCTTGAGTATGCGGACGATATTGTCTTACTGTGCGATAATGCCCAAGGCATGCAATCCGCACTTAATCAGTTGGCAATCAGTGTCCGTAGGTATGGTATGTGCCTTGCACCTTCGAAGTGCAAAGTACTCCTATAAGACTGGCAGGATTCTAATCCTGTACTCACCCTGGATGGTGAGCAGATAGACGTAGTCGAGAGGTTCGTGTATCTGGGTAGCTGCACAAGTGCTGGTGGGGGTGTGAGTGATGAGATCAATGCACGTATAGTGAAAGCCAGAGCGGCTTATGCCAATCTGGGCCATCTTTGGCGCCTTCGTGATGTTAGTCTGGCTGTAAAAGGTCGGATCTACAACGCGTCGGTGAGAGCAGTTTTGCTCTATGCTTGTGAAACCTGGCCTCTCCGAGTTGAGGACGTTAGACGACTCTCTGTGTTCGATCATCGTTGTCTCCGAAGGATTGCTGACATTCAGTGGCAACACCATGTCAGTAATGCAGAGACTCGGCATCGTGTGTTCGGGCACAGAGATGATAATTCAATCGATGTCACCATCTTGAAACACCGAATTCGGTGGCCTGGACATGTTCTACGAATGTCGTCCCAGAGAATTCCACGTCGTGCATTATTTGCCGACTCTGGGACTGGTTGGAAGAAGCGGAGAGGTGGTCAGTGCATGACATGGTGTCGTGGCATGAAGGAAAGCTGCAAAGGACTGGCTTGTGTTGGTCCTTCACGACTCCCTGGTTGGGGTCCGAGAGATGGTGCTACACAGTGGCTAGAGACGTTATCAGATATGGCTCAGAATAGAAGCCAGTGGCGATCCTGCTGTAACCTTCTTTTACTTTCTTCATAAAAAGTGGTTATGTCTTCCTTAACTGAAAGATTTCTTCCCATTGTACCTTTGCGTTCCCTGATTACTAGCACATTACCTTACACCAACCTCTTCGTTATTGTTCTCTCTTTTATTTTGTTGCGCTCGTTAGCTTTTTTTTCTTTCTTTGTATTCCTCTCGGATTTTCATTGTTTTGTGTGGCGCATATATATTGGCGCTCTCTTGTACCAATATTCATGTGTCCAAATAAATAAATAAATAAATTATACGATTTACCATTCTTGAGTTATACCCAGTCTATCAATTACTATCTCCCACATTCACAACTACTTTTGGTTAAATCTTGTACAAATGTTATTTTCTATTTCATGATACAATGTGGTCTGTCTGATTAGTATATAAACCCAGTATGTTTGAAATAAACAATTCATATCGCAGAGGCTGAGATTGGTGTTCTAAACTTAACAGGTTGGGCTAGGCAGGAAGCAAGACCGATAAGGACTCTAGACTGCTCGTACGGGTTTTATGCGTCATTGGTCCTATCGATAATTCATTGCTCTCTAATTGGTGGTAACATTACGTTGTAAGTTGATAGGGACACAAACCCACAAGTTATAACCGTACTCATATGTTTACGCAAAATACCAGCTTACCTATTACAAGAATAGCACTATAGCCACGAAACTAAGAACGACAGTTTTGGAATACCTACTTATCCGTGACGTCAACGGCTAATTGACTGATGTCATTTCGAAAGACAAAAGAAAAATTAGGAGTACTAAAACCTGTGATTTTATTGCTAAGAAGTTTTGAATTATCATCGTAATTAATGAAAATGTGTTTTATGTTAGAGGTTATCAATTCACTTGATATTCACTAACCATTCAGGTACTCATTGATGTTAAATGGTTGTGTAGTAATAGTGAGGTTAGACGCAGGGTATTAGGGAATGATGGTAAATCAGTTGATGAGGTTATGAATCTTCATCGACTGAGATGGTTGGGCCACGTATTACGTATGCCTGAACACCGATTACCACGACGTGCAATGCTAACCGGGGTAGGGGATGGTTGGAAGAAAGTTAGGGGCGGCCAAACCAAAACGTGGCATCAGTGCCTGAAGTCACTAACTTCTAGTCTGAGCCACGTTGGTAGATGCAGACTACTTGGTTGGGGTCCGCATGACTTTCGTAACCAATGGTTGGAGACTCTTGGTGACATGGCTCAGAATCGATCACAGTGGCGTCGGTGTATACACTCCCTGTCTTCCCTTAAACTAAGAGACTAAAATCACTTCATTCTTTCTGTCTACGAACTAATTCTTTCTTCCTATACTATATCCTAATTGCAACCTTTGACCTAACCACTCCTATGAATCCGGTGTTCATCTTGCTGTGCTAATGAGGTATGGCAACCTGGACCGATGCACATATGTGCCTGGTTCTACGTTGTAGCTGACTGACTGACTGAAATGGTTGTGTCCTAAGTAACTTTGCCTGACTGATTGTCTTACGCTTCACCTAGACGAAAGTGTTTCATTTCACTAACTTTGATAACCTGAATATCTTATTCCTCCGAGTATCGTTTAATTTAGAAATTAACAACAGTTACGAAAAATTAGTTGAATTAGTCTCGACTTGTTTCAGTACCATTTGACCAGCATTGTACATTGTGTTTGTAATAGCTGAAATCACGATTGTAATACCATTATATATTATTCAGCATTGCTTTTTCAATGCACACATCGACAAAACCGAAATAAGAAACTGTTTAATTAAATACGAAATTAATGTTCGCGTCCGAAATACAAAGTCGATATACCCTCATAGATTTAATGGTTTACTCATATATGTGCACTATAAAATATAAACATGAGCCTACCAAATGTGGACAGTCCAGTGACACTAGTCGTATATTTTTTCTTGCCTCTGGAAGTTTTAAATACTGCTATTTGTTGTTTTACTGGCTTTTTAGGTCCTCCTTTTCCACCCCTAACTTGACGTCCTTTAGGCGTTGCCTCAGTTTGATTTGAATCCACATTATCTTTAAAGTAAATGTACGACGAAAATTGAGAACGTACCAGTATTAAGTCGTTCAAACTCTTCAGGTAAATTTTTCTCTAACCATGCTCGACATTTTTCAGGGAATGGTGAAAATTCACAATACTCCAGAGGCATAGTGCATTCTGTATGAAAGTATTTCGTGAGCAAAAACACTAACCACCACAATACTTAATTGTTAAAGGATATTCAACATCAGGGTCCTGCATCGCTCGCGGCATGTACTCATAGTTCTCAGTCATTACAGTTCCTGTTAAAATAAAATTATGAACTAATACAATAAAAAATACGAAATTAACGTATGGTATTAGTGCTTTTGATTTAGACGTTGTAAAAATTCGATTGATTGCCAGTCAAAAACGTAATTATCACTTTGAATTTTGAGCTAACTCCTGACGGAAAGAAACGTTCACCATAACTGTTCAAGAATTGCTTATGAATACTTAAAACTCCCATGTATTTGATTCGCAAGCACCAGTACATTAGTTTAAACATGCCAAACCTGTTTCGATTCGAACCACTGGATCTAGGTAGATAGATAAAGGATGGAACTCGTAAGAAAAACCTTCCTCTGGGATTTGGTAACAGAATTATTTAGCCAACACATATACAACCAGGCCTACATCTTGCATGATTTACCTGAGTTTAAATTTAGTGGTAAGTTTATCTTAATGTTATAATTTAAATGTATTAGTCAAGCTAATGTCGCATTGATTATTAAGTACATAGATGTATTTTGCACTTATGAGCTCTAAAAGCTTGAAGATTATCAGGTTTATTGGTACTCCTCAACAAACTAATGATACGCCACCACCTGGAAATAACTAGTCATTCTTCACTGGTATTTTTACTGGTTCATCCTCACACGTACCACTGATATTCCACATTAAAGTGAGCTCCTAAAACTGTTTCGGATGTTGAGTATATGAACCGTTAAGCCAAATGAAAAATAAATTGTATTATAAGAGGCGATACTAACTTATCGGCGAACCAATCAGATTTTAAATAGCAGGACTCAGATCTTGGAGTGAAATTCATGCAACTATATGACAGAATAACATGTTAGCATTACAGATCGTTAATTCGTGGCAAAAGCTGTAATTTTAATTTCTAACGTCTATTGTAAATCCTAATTTCTCTCAATAACTTATGGTCTTCATTTTACCCTAGTAAGTTGGTCAACACCCCCAAAACCAGTTACGCGTCACTCGAAGGTCGTCCATAAAATATGGTCTCACGCGAAAACGTGCTTAAATATGATATTAAATGGTAAAATGTAGGTGGGAGGATCTAGGTTTTCTTCTGATACAGGCCAGCCAAACACCTAATAGCTTTACAAACTAGTCTCATGTCTTTACTTTCCTACTCAGGAGTCAACAGAATTTGTATCTTTACTACTAGTGTCTTAATGAAAACTATGGGCACAAACTTCATTTTAGCTGAGTAAAAATGCCTAGTAACAGCTAGTTGTGGTCCCTCTAATGCATGTCCACCTGCTGAAACTCATTTAACTAAAGCACTTCTTACTTTTTGAGTTTTGCTTTATCCGAACGCATACAACTGTTGTAATTATTGGCTAGACTTGGAGACTTGGGGGATATCGTTTAAGCCCGAAAAGTCTGTATAGAGAGGTTATATAGACCATCGCAACACATCTATTGGGTACATTTTACGTAATACATTCAAGAAACTTCAGAGAAATTTAGGGGACAAGCATACCATGTTAAGTTATATAACTTTGGGTTAGATTATGCAGTTTATGTCTAATTCACTTTAAGATGTCAACTTGCTGGTTCACATTAAATTGTTTTGAATATTTAAATGGTGAGGCATCTTGATTCAGAGTCAGCATAAAACCAACCTTGAAGTAGACACGCACACCAAAGACTTACAACCAAGCAGCAACACAACAGGCGAACACCGCGCCCGGAATAGGACGTAACTTCAAACCATAAGCTTTACATTAGAGAGTTAGCTAAAAGTTTGTTCTTAGGGAACTGCTCCTAATTCCTATTTATGATGAAAACTTGGATTGAAATGATGATTTCTCGGTCATGTATTTGAATGACTTGTAGTTCTTTACAGATTGATCCTGTAAAAAGTGGAGTTACCCAAGGTACAATCCTTGATCCTCTTCTCTTTTTACTTTATGTAAATGAATCACCAACTGCAGAAAAGTCATCCGTTCTACTCTTCGCTAATAACATAAAGAATAGTATAGAATAGTATAGTATATCCATGTGAAAGGACTTTTATGTTGAAGATTTTTGGTTTCCAGACTTAGCAACCTGTTGAATACTTCAAAAGATTCAATAGTTATGTAAAATCTGTCACGCTATTATTTTCCTTTCCGAAAAGCTATCTATCTGCAATCACTGCTCTTGGCTGACTGAGAACTGGTTGGAACTTCATTTGGATTGTCTTAAGCTGTTTCCCTTATTCTGACTATTTTATTCGTTGAGCTTAGTACAGATAGCCATAATGGTTTGTGAATATCCTATCGTTAACCCTGAACACAGAGTTCAAATGGTTCAAATGGTTGTGGACGGAATAGAAGAAGCATTCCCTAAACAGGCTCTCGTGTCTAGTAGCAGGGGATCACTAAAACCTCCAGGCAGGAACCTAGGTATATTAACGATAAAAGAGGAAACAGAAGTTGGTAAGTTATTGTATGATAATATCCTTAGACCTTAAGAATGGATCAAATTGCCTTTTAAAGGACTCCTGGGAAGTCGCTTGAACTAGCTCGCTCGGCAGCGAATTCCAGCATTTGACAACTCTTAAGGAGTAGAAGTTGTGTCCACAGTCCGTTCTGCTTTGTTGTGTCTCCAATTTCTAGGTATTACCTCTTAGCTTAGTATTGGGACTAAGCTTAAGTATGTGTTTAGGAAGATGTCCAGAAATGTTAAGGATACTTTAAGCCTTCAGATGATCACCTCTATGATGCCTATACTCTAATGGATAAAGGTCTAGTGAATGGAGGCGCTCTTCATAAGGTTTGAATTTGAGTCCTTATCCTTTTGGAGTGAGGGAGGAAATACTACGTGGACTACTTTACACTTTGAAGTGTTAAAGGTAATTCCGTTATCTTCTGCCCAACTTTGAAGTCGAGTCAGATCCTCCTGAAGTGCTCGTATATCGTCTTGGTTGCGTATCTCTCTCCAAAGTTTCACGTCATCTGCGAAAAGTAATAAGTCTGACGTTACTTGTTGAGGAAGATCACTTATATAGATCAAGGAGAGTAGGGGTCCTAGTACTGAGACCCAGGGGACTCCACTAGGACATTCCACAGCCGGAGATAAAGTGAAGTTAAACCTAACCTTAAATTGTCGATTTTTCAAATATGAAGTGAGCCAATCAATTAGAGGTGGTCAAATACCCAATCTCTTGAGCTTATTGATAAGACATATATGGTTGGCCCTATCAAAAGCTTTTGAGAAATCAAGGTAAATGATATCAACCTTCCACTTGCGATCAAGGATGCTTGTTCATCTGTCCACCCCAGTCAGCAGGTTGGTTATACAAGAGTCACTCCTCCTGAAACCATGCTGTTGGGGTGAAAAGAAATTTGAGGACAGTAAATAGTCATTTATACCATCGCATATCAGGGACTCCATGATTTTTGAAGGTATAGAGAGAAGAGTCACCGGTCGGTAACTTGAAGGTTTGCTGCGTCGACCTCCTTTGAAAATTGGTGTGATGTGAACCAGCTTCCAATTTTACGGTAGTTTGCCTCGGCTTATGGAGTGTGGATTATTACGCTAAGTAGCGTTGCCAGGATTGAAGCTGCTTCCCTCAGTATAGCAGAATGAACCACATCTGGGCCTGGAGAAATGTCTTTTCTTAGATGCTGCAGTTACCGGAACACCAAGTCAGTGCCCAGGTTTACTACGGAAAGTCCTTTACAGTTTCAGATGAAGCTGTCCTCGGTATAGTTAATAATAATAATAATATATATTACTGCATGCGCAGGTACACGCCATTTTTACAGGCATGATATACAAATCACAACACTTGTTGGTTCACAAAATGCTTTGCAACTTATTAAGTTTATAGTTGTTATAAAGTAGACTCGTAGGGCGCTTGCCGTAAACCGTGACCTTGAGGAGACACGTACTTCAAGTTTGTTCCAGACGTCAGAAGTTTCATAGCTGTGCCCTCAGAGCAAATTTCTGAAGAGGGAAAAAAGAGAAATGTCCGAGAGTATTGTTCAGACAAAAGGTCAGCGGCGTCGCCGTCGTTATTAGTCGGGCCGTTAGGACCTAGCAGTTGGGAAACTCCAGTTTTGGCTTGACAAAGAAAGGCTGCACAACGGAATAGGCTTTTCAGATTAGAGACAAATTTATCCATAATCTTTGTCTGGTACTGAAGCCTGTCTTCTCCTACAGCCTTCGTGAATATGTTCCTTCTATGTTTGTATTTCTTGTACGCTCCATTGTTGTCAGTTCGTTTGTATTCTGCCCAACAGTGACTTTTGCAGCTTAGCAGGCTTAGCAACCAACTCAATGAATATCACTTGAAACATAAGTTCGTTCAATTTCAGAGTTATACAAGGCTAACGAGGATTCGTTTGACTGGACGGATATATTACTCTATACTGCCCGTGTCACAATAGAGTCATGGAATGGTAACAGGGAGGTATATTATCGCTTCAGATTATGGAAATTACCTTCCGAAATCGTGAATAAAGATAAACGACAATTGGATACACTCAACGTTATAAAACTGAAACTACAAGATTCGATACCACTAGTACAAAAGTTGACAGTAGATTTACAGACCGACTTGATATGTTTCTGTTTATCACAATTAAAGCATTTGACATAAAAAAAATATATGAGTTACGTGGGTGAAATTTACCACAGCATGGGCATTCACCAAACCTGTGATCAACTGTGTAATCTGCCTTGCAATTATTTGATAAATCATTTTTCGCATTTCCACGAGAATGAGAACCATCATTAAACAATCATGAGATTGAATGATCCTGAGAGTATAGTTCATCACGATGCTGTGAGAAGTATTATAAATTTTCACTGACTGGAAATCAAGCTCATTGACTGCCTTATACGTAATGTATGCTTTTTCATTTGGGTTTCTGAATTAATTATCGTCATAAAATCGTATCATTCATCCCAGAAAACAACCCACCACGCAGATGCACTTGAAGTTGGTCATCAAAATCACACTTGACGGACTGTTTCTTCAATTAAAAACAAACGTCTCCAACCTTTTTGACGTCCTGATAAATCATTTCTGGAATTTTGTTCTTTCATAGCATTCGAAATTAGTGCACTTCACATGATTGAGAAGTAGTTCATCGGGAATTGCGTGGGAAGGTGAAATGGACTTGTCTGAGAATGCTAGCGATTTTAGTGAGCTTTAGTCACCACTCCCGATGAATGGGAAAAAACGAACAACAACTTTATCATCCTTAATATCCTTCCTGCTCATACTCCAGATTTCAAACCTTTCTATGTATTCTTCGAAAGCTTCAGAGTTTGAATGTATATCCAGCTGTTCAATCACAGGCTCCATTGCAAAGCCAATGTAGTAATTAGAAGTATTTGAAACAATGTGCTGACTCAGAATTCCCGAAAAAGTGCAATTTAAAGCAAATAAAACTAGATGGGCACAAATGAACGTATCATATTTGGAATTCGAAATCAATGGGCCATCAAGCAAAAATTAATCAATATTTCGTACAAATGCCACTCTGGTTCGTGTCGTAGAAGCGCATAATATTTTGTCATTGTCCTGAATGATACGATTTATTTTAGCTTGTTCAGAAGACAAGATGGATCATGTATGTGTATGTTATTACTAGACACTACAATGTTTTCGAAAAGGCTTCATCGAATTTCTCTCAGGTAGTTATCATTGCGAGGTTGATAGCATATTCATCCCCAAACCTTGTTGACGTCACGGAGAAGTGAGGTTAACTCTTGTCCGTCGATTATATCTAGGAATCCATAAATCTCTTATTTTGTGACTTTTAGGTCTAAATATAATGTTGCATAAACTACGTCAGCGAGAAAGAATTCCAAATAAGAATCTGTTATGACGTGGTGTGACTGCAGGTTTTAATAAGCAGCGTTTATTGATCGACTCGGTGACAGTGACACGTAAACACGAACGAAAGGCCTACAGTTCTGATTGGTCCTGCTTCCCTGTCCAGCCCAGCCAGTTGAGTCCAGAACACAAGTCACAGCCTCGGAGATATGAATCATTATATTTCAAACATACTTTGTTTATATACCAATCAGGCAGACCACATCGTACCATAAAATAGAAAACAATATTTTGTACAATATACAACAAGTGAACAGATATCAATAAATAGAAAATGTCCATTTAAAGTCCAAGGACACCATTGGACTTAACATGATAATTATTGGTCCATTCCTCCGCATCCACAACAGAATCAGAAGCCAAACTCTTTTACGACTACCTCAAAGTCACTCAAACCACGAGACGGAAGTGAAACGGTCCGGAGACACATGGTCGATGAGTCGAGCAATATGTTAAAGATCCAACAGGTACTCGGAGTTTGACAACGCCTTTACGCGTAACACCATACCAACAGCACACCAAACCGGCTAAATCAGAAGTCGGAAATGGAGGATTTGAAGACATTTGGGAATCTGTTGATATACCCAGAAGCGTTTGTCCTAAACTAGCTAGTAGTTGAAAGGGATGTGTAGCACGATGTACATGAAAATCAGGAGTATTCGAATTATAGTATGAACTAAGAATCCCAGAAATATCGTAATCGGATTAAGAAGTACTAGATAACCACAAACGAATGCACTGTATTTAGAATTCGAAATCAAGCATTCAACAAGTACTAAGGAATCATTAGTTCATTCAAACACCACAATGTACGCGCTTGAGATCTGGTGAGGATATGTGACCGATAGCCTTCGGCTAGGGTGTGTCCAGTAAAACTACTGAGGTGAGTATTATTGTCTGAGACATTCGCAGTTATTTATTTTGAGGATCTATATACCGCTGCAATGTAAATCAGACTGACCATTTGTTGAAGGAGATGAGCTGAAGAGCGCACTCGAACGTGGACTGACGTGGATGCCAAAACTCACCGCATGCAATTCAAATTTGAGGCTAGGGTAAAACAGATCACAGTCCTTTCCAAACGTAGTCTGAAGTCCAAAAACCAAGATCAAACCGTCTACGCCTGGAGTCTCGTTTCTCGAACAGAGTAGTGAATTACTGGAATTCTCTACCAGGATTTCTAATATCAGCACCTTCTGTTAATATATTAAAAAAGAGATTAGAACTTTACCGTATTTCAAACTACAGGGATAAATACAGGTCGACAGATATTCTATCCTTATGACTGAAGACTGGAGACAGGTCAGAATATTCATCATTGAAAAGGGTGCGTTCCTTGAACACTTCGTAACGGTATGCATGGTCTGTTAAGTCGTGACTATTCGCTTGTGTTCAGTAATACGGGCCATGCAGTTAGCAGAACTGAAAAGGGCCCGAACTCTCTTTGGAGATAATAATGGGGTATTTAATACAAACTGGTCCTGAAAGCTCCCTCAAATTATCAGTTTCATATGAATTCATGTAAAGCTGACTACTTGTCTCTGTAGTAAAGGAAGTTACTATACAGTATTATTTTATAGCGGAAGTATCGTTGCTCCTCATTTCTGACCTTTATCTATTCACTTCTTGGGTTTTTGTGTAACGTTGTCTCTGTAGCGGCCCAATCTCCCTAAATATATCAAATATATATCCTCAATATTGGGTAAAATTCTATCACTTTGGGTAAATACCTATAATATGTTTTTGAAAAATGAGTCTAATAACCTAAAAATTTCCTTCGGTCTAAAGGAAACTGCGGTTCATTTTAGGAATACACTGAAATCGGAAGGTTAGTCGGCTAAACTAACTGCTTTGAGTCTCGATTCTATGACCTTCTGGCGAGACTCTAATTTAGCGACGACCTTTGAACGAATCTTAAATGACCATGACAATTATTAGCCAATCAGAAGACAGTTAATATAAAGTGAGAATATATTGTAAGTAAGTAATGAATTACAGTGGATATTCTTTTTTTACATGATTTAAAAACTTGTTAAGGTTTGATGAAGGTTCAGAGGCTCTCAATTCATAATGCATATTGTATAGAAACTCTTCCACAGGGTTAGTGGTTAGGGTTGTAGCCTGTCAATAGACATCTCTTCTCTAAAATCCGATGTAAACCGATCGCATGTTAGCACCCTAACCTTAACCTAACCCTAACCTCACCCTAACTTTAACCTAACCCTTAACCCTAACCTTAGTCCTAAACCCTAATCTAACCCTAACCCTAACCTTAACTTAACCCTAAACCCTAACCTTAGTCCTAAACCCTAATCTAACCCTAACCCTAAACCTAAACCCTAATCTAACCCTAACCTTAACCTAACCCTAGTCCTAAACCTTAATCTAACCCTAACCCTAACCTTAACCTAACCCTAAACCCTAATCTAACCTTAAACCCTAACCTTAACCTAACCCTAAACCCTAATCTAACCCTAAACCCTAACCTAACCCTAAACCCTAACCCTAATCTAACCCTAACCTTAGCCCTAAACCCTAATCTAACCCTAACCTTAACCCCAAACGCTAACCTTATGGACGAGTTTCTATACAATATGCATTATGAATTCAGAACTTCTGAGCCTTTATCAAACCTCAACAAGTTTTTAAATCATGTAAAAGAAGAATATCCACTGTAATTCATTACTTTCTTGTAATATATTTCTACTTTATACTGTCTTCTGATTGGCTAATAATTGAAATTGCTCAAGCGCTTCTTATTGGCTCGTCCCTAAATTAGTCTCGCCGTCCCATCTGTTTTAACCTCTCATTAATCACCTCCTCTCTAAAATCCGCCGTGAACCGACCGTATGTTAGCATTGCGTGTTGAACTTGGCTCCGTGACCTTGAAATTGCTCAAACGCTTCTGATTGGCTCGTCGCTAAATTAGAGTCTCGCCGACCTTCTTAATGTGAAGCTTGTGTCACTGCTGATTGTTGTCGATTACTTTTGGTTTTAAGTGTAATTGCATTTCATGCGTTTGTTGGATTTTCGACACACCTTCGTAGTCCTCACACGCTACTCTGCATGTTCATTTGGTACACAAAGTACCTTCTGCGTAGAAGCGAATCGCCACACTCACCGTTCATTTTGTTAAGGCCAGTAGAATTAACAGTGACAATTCCAGGAAGGTTTGAAGGATCTCCTTCAGAGGTTAAGTTCATTTTGGTGACACTATTCGTCTAGCACAAGACTACTACTAACACCTATCCCAGTGAGATGTAGAATTCGGATGACCGATGCGCCAGTTCGTCAAGTTATAGCATTAAGTGCAATCAGAATTATTATAGAATGTTATGATTTTGGGTAAAAATGTCTTTCGAAATTTAGTCAGACATCAAAATATCGTTAAGAAATATTAACGATATAGGATTTAAACTTTACCTCACTTTTGGTTAATCTTATCAATATCTTTATTTAATCCTATTTTTACTGTTTTTTTACCGTTATGTCTGTTTGTCAGAATTTTTGGTAGTACTGATCATAGTATAGAAATTAAGGAGCTTGAAATCAGTCTGGATTGCCAGTTTCCAAATTGTTAATAAACTGTAGCGGGTTGTCGTATTCTTGCGTTATCTACCAGGCCTTGGGTAATGCGACTTTATACTTGGTGACTACAAACCTGTAGGGTATCAACAACAATTTTCATAGCTGTGTAATACTATTATTCATCTAAATTTTATTTATTGCACAGATGTATGTGGTTTTCGAGGTGTATGCTTATGTTTCCCAGCAGTTAAGTTGATAACTCATAATCTGATCGCAAAGCACATCTTTCGTACCTTGATACTACATGACTAAAGACTATCAGGAGGAATTTCTGAGCCCATGTTTCTTGCTAATTTAGACTTATCGGTAAGGTCTTGAAATTCTGAGGAAAATATTACTCTTCTCTTGATCCGAACCCTTAGTCAACCTGTGCTAGTCAGAAAAATTACCTACGAGCTATTTACTTCTCTGATAGCCCCCCTGCAGGACTAATACATTTACATTTGTCTATCTCTGAGTGTTAACCATGGTCGTGTTTGTTTAGTTCCTGATAATGACCAACAGAATTCGACCATTGATGTACTTTTGTTGGAAGTCTGGACAAACCTTGGCAATAATTATAAATATTATTTATCGAAAATAATGATAAGAATTAGTCTCCAGTTTTGGTGCATTCATTAACGTAATGTAAGATAATCTCATGGTAACAATTCGCTATTTTACTGAGTAAACAAAAATGTCCCCAAAATTACATGGTAGTTACCTACTGACTTTCATAAGAGGTAAATTTACCATATTACGTCTAGAACATTAAAGATTCCCATTGTGAAAATTAGAACAACATATATCACGTCTCACTATCAATCACTTTTACTCATAACATAGATGCACTCGTTCATCATATACTTTATTTAGTCATTTTTATTACAATTAGTTGCTTAAATACAATACCTCGGTAGCTGATGACATCACCAGCATCGACTCAGTAGTTTTATTCAAAAGTTCTTGTTTCACGTACGATTATTTAGCGTTTTATGAATTTTTAAGGCAGATAACTTCAACTTCTCTAATTTATCCCAACAAAAGGGATTATAGTTTGTGTTTTGTGTGCGGGATTGTTTACTACGTTTTGAGGTTTTTCGGTGTTTTAATCTCAGCAAATAGCTCTTGCTCCTTCATTTTTTGTGTTGATTTTCGATACTTAGTTTGTGTTTTTTTTAGTGTTGTATACAATAGTCGTCAATTGACAAACTTACACGATGATTTCTTCTCGTTTCGGGATATGCCAGTCAGCTATTACAAAATGTATAAAACAGCATGCTTTGGCGTATCACAAGAATGTCATAGATCATTATGAGAACCCTCGTAATGTAGGCTCATTCGATAAGAAAGACATGTCTGTCGGTACTGGTTTGGTTGGTGCACCGGCCTGTGGAGATGTTATGAAGCTCCAAATAAAGGTAAGGCATCCATTCTAGGTAAAACTATTTTTAAGTATGTATTTATAGGTTATTACATGAATCATGACATGCTACTTGCACGTCTTCCTGTGTTCTGTAGAAGTAGTTTTTTCCTAAATCACAACTGAGGTAGTTCAGTCAGAAATAATCGTCCAACATTCACCAGTTTTAGGTATTTGCTAAGTAGATTTGATTTTATGATGATGATAATGATCACTTTCAAATTTATACTTCAAACAAGACTTACTACATAAGTATGACTTACGTCACCAAGATGTATGCTTTTTGATGTAATGAGGAATAGTTCTTCAGAGTACTTGTCTCCATTGGTATCCTTTTTAAATAATGCCCTCAAATGCCCTGGTACGGCCGAGAGTGGGGAGAGTCCGCTCTCCCTCTCGAAATGCTCTCACATGGCCACGCGTATATAGCCTACTCACTGCCTTCTCGTGGCGGCGGTGTTGTTTACGAAAATGAGAGGATGAAAAGCGAATGTCCGGCCCTTTAACCGGATTCCAAACCAATGGTGCACATGGGCTCAAGTATCCTGCGGGAACAAATGGCGTATGAATCAATTGTTGGTCACCGGCTTCCATGGGACTGCATCTCCTTACGATGCTCCAGTGCCTTGTGGATCAGACCTTCAGGTTGAAGGCTCGAGGAGTGTCCCCCTAAGAAAGCCACCTGCTTCGGTTTTGGCACCCGGGCAGTATCACAGCCCTCACACATATCGAATGAGATTTGTGTGGCGCATATGTATTTGGTGCCTCCTTGTACCAATGTCTATGTGTTAAAATAAATATATAATTCATAATAATTCCTAACGATCCCAACATTGCTGATCCTTTTGTCAGACTTTGTAAAAACAGGGAACTAGAAGGTTGACTATCAGATGAAAAGACAAAGATTCGTTTATATCTCAGTGTTAACTTTTGTAAACTTGTGTGGAGTTAATGATCAGCAACGAAAGGCAGGTACTGTTATAGATTTATTTTTCAAGTTTAAACCGTTGTCTAGACAAAAATTGGAAATTCGAACCTCACATTTTTAATCTAATAACTATTTACTATATTTCCGTAAAATTTATATATATGTTTAAACAGTAGTGAGATGCCAGGTATTTTGACTATTCTCCCTTTTTTAATCTCGTTTTCACACGTAAAAATCTATTCTTGGTGCATTTCTTTTAATTTCAGGTGGATGAAAATGGGAAAATAATAGATGCAAAGTTTAAAACATTTGGTTGTGGTTCCGCAATTGCATCCAGTTCACTGGCAACTGAATGGGTTAAAGGCAAAACAATTGATGAAGCTGCAAAAATAAAAAATAGTGATATTGCCAAAGAACTAAAACTTCCACCTGTCAAATTACACTGTTCTAGTAAGTCAGCACCAATTAATTTTACGTTCATTATTTGTTAACCTATTCTGAATGTAGCGTTTCTTTACAAAACATACAAATAAGTAGCACAACCTAAGTAAATTTTATGAATTGGATTGTTAGCTCGAATCTCTATAGCTTGTGGTGTGTGTAAAAAATGAGGACGAAGTAAACTTTGCATCACTTTGGGTTTATCATAACAATACCTGTTCTTTGGAGTTAAATCTCTATCTCTTCATCCTAAGACAATTCAAAAATGGTACGTTTTTGTAAATTTATCAAAAAATGTTTCTTTTGTTCAAGGCTAATTAAGTTTCAAAGTTGGTGAAATCTTTATTACTCACTAAATTCGAGTTCTGTAAATCTTCATCAAATTAGTTTATTTATTTATTTATTTTAACACATAGACATTGGTACAAGGAGGCACCAAATACATATGCGCCACACAAATCTCATTCGATATGTGTGAGGGCTGTGATACTGCCCGGGTGCCAAAACCGAAGCAGGTGGCTTTCTTAGGGGGACACTCCTCGAGCCTTCAACCTGAAGGTCTGATCCACAAGGCACTGGAGCATCGTAAGGAGATGCAGTCCCATGGAAGCCGGTGACCAACAATTGATTCATACGCCATTTGTTCCCGCAGGATACTTGAGCCCATGTGCACCATTGGTTTGGAATCCGGTTAAAGGGCCGGACATTCGCTTTTCATCCTCTCATTTTCGTAAACAACACCGCCGCCACGAGAAGGCAGTGAGTAGGCTATATACGCGTGGCCATGTGAGAGCATTTCGAGAGGGAGAGCGGACTCTCCCCACTCTCGGCCGTACCAGGGCATTTAGGGGCCATCAACTTAGTTAGCTTGGATTTATTAAAAAGGTGTCTATTTGCTGTCTGTTTCAACGTGTTGACTGGGATATGAGTAACTATAGAAGATTGAAAACTGACAAACCGAAACTTGGCACCAGTTTATGAAACAGTTGGTTGCCTATTTAGCCCGGCTAGCTCAGTCGGTAGAGCATGAGACTTAATCTCAGGGTCGTGGGTTCGAGCCCCACGTCGGGCGTCGTCTGGTGAGGCAGTTCACCGTGTCTGCCGTGTCGCCGACTTGCCTATTTGATCAGTGTCGGGTAGCTGTAAGTTATAGTTCAAGTTGACATGGTCGAAAATTGATCTTGGTAGTTTATATATATATATATATATATATATATATATATATAGGTGTCTACACATTCTTGCTTCGCTGTTTTTAAATTTTTCTTTGGTTCGAGTATTTTCTCTTATTTTTCTGTTTGCTATTTAGTGCTTGCCGAAGATGCTATCCAGGCTGCTATTAAAGATTACAAGAAAAAGTCTACTTGAGTATTACTTTATATTCACAGATCAATTCCAATCATATTCGACGTCATAATTTCTCATTTCACTTGGATAGACATTATTGTAAATCATAAGCACTATATTGAAAGTAATTTTGTCATCTAACAAATTTAACCATAGATACAGAGATACTCTCATAAAAATAAAACTTATTTTCATCTACTAAAGAAGTGTTCTTGTTCATAAATTTCATGTTAGAATGTCTGTAGTTGTTTGTTTATTTTCGATATTTCAATGTCTTATATACAACTCTATGATATTAATATATTATGTGTTTTTATAGTGTTGGGGTCATTTATCAATAGTGCATATTGAAAGCTTTGGGAAAGTCTTTATGGTGTATTGTTTAATGTTGCATCCAGTGGACGAAATATCGCTTAGTAATCTCTAAAATATTCTAGTATACCCGGGGATTGTTTCTGACGTTGGTATTCAATGTTAGTTTGCTTATAAATTTAGTAGAGATTTTGACTAAACTGGTACTGAAAAATTTACCTTTAAGGTTGAAAAGCAGTAAATGTGTGTCAGCTTAAGAGCTTATCATGGAAATAATGGTAGTTGATCCCGAAATACAGTTTTTAGCGGCCGGTTGTCATTTATGCTTCTACTAGATAGTTGTATTTTTCCCTTTGCAAATTTGCCTACTAACAAGTAATCAGTTTTAGAAGCATTTAAAAAAGTCGTATTATTGCAGTAGAAATCACGTCTTACTTAGATTTTACATTTTATGTCATATCGTCCCTCCATCACTGTAATGTAGTCATGCGAACCCTTAGGATCAAAGTTTTTTTTATTTCAATAAATTATAAATGAAAATGGACGTAATATCAACCATACACTAGTTCATCGAAGCTAGAACACCAGTCATTTTAGGCAGGGGATATAAATATTCAAGCCAGATATACAAAACTTTACCTGGAGAATGAATCACTTAGTAACTGCAAAATTATAAAGTAAACCAAATGCTTAATATTCTAATTATGTTCAATACCTTGTAATATTTTGGATGATTTTGTTGAAATAATTTTATTCACCTTTAGAAATTTATCTTTTCAAGAGTAGATAGCGAGTAAAATTTTGCTGCATTAGATTCATTCTGTTGTTTGTATGACCTGTTTATATCAGAAACGATAGTACGTAACATATTTCTGGCTGAACTCCACAGGACGCTTATTATTTTACAAGATTATTGGAAATTTTTATTGTCGTTTACCTCTACTATTCATTCTTTCATGTCAGTTCAGAATCTACGAATTTAATTTTAATACTAGATTTTATCTAAATACTAAGTTTACCTCCCACAATTTGTTTGGCGTAAGTTATATATAAATTGGAATATATATCTTCTCGTTTTCTCCATCTTAGTTTCCCGTTTTATAGTTCTGTTTTCGTTTCAACCACCGACTGTCCCGATGAGCTATGATTTATAGTGTAGGAATAGGTTGGAAAAAAGCTAGGGGCGGCCAGACCAAAACATGGCACAAATCCATAAAGTCACTGGCAAGCGGACTGAGCCATGTTAGTAGGTATATACTACCTGGTTGGGATTCGCGAGACGATACCAACCGATGGTTAGACCTTTAGTGAAATGACTCCAAATCGTTTGCAATCGCACAGGTGCATCCACTCTTTATGTTCTCCCAAATTCTAATCTGAATTCTTCATGTCTTCTATTTTTCTCTTTCCAAATTTATTTCACTGTATTATACTCCTTGAATAACATGTTCAAACCCTAATCTTTCCGATTACTGCTTATACGTTTACTACGTCCACCACTCCGGAATTTGAATTGACAATTGTATCTGTGTGCTAATGTGGTATGAGAACTCGAACTGATGTACGTACGTACGAAGTTCCACGTTGGTACTGACTGTCTGACTGACTTTTCATTGGTCAAATAGACAAAAACCTGGTTTCTACCGCTTAAAATAAAGTAAAATGTTGTAGTTGTAGGTATACACAAAAGGAGAGTTGAAGGTTGCTGATCTGTGGATATTTACAGATTTCGGTTTTTGAACTATTTTTCCAAATCTTGTATTTATTTGTTTAAATACTTAAGTATTGGTGCGAAGTTGCACTGAAATATATATGCTCCACACTAGATTTGCGTGTGTGCTGGTGTCCAAACCGAAGCAGGTGGTTTTCTTTGGAGTCCACCCCAAGCCTGATCTCGAGCCTTAATCCACGGAACAGTTGAACAACGTTAGGCTATACGATCTCATAGAACGAGGTGTTGACGAGGAATAAGTTCATATCTCGTTTGGTCCCTCAGGGTCCTGTAGCCTATGTGGAGCATTGGTTTGGAACCAGGGTTTTCCAACTCCCCTTGGTAAGTGTTCCGTACCCACCAACCCGGTTCAATCACTGGAAATTTGCTTTTTGTCCTCTCAATTTTGTAAAAAGTCCTGTGCCTTGAGTAGGGAATGAGCAGGACATATTTGGTAGTGGCTATATATGCTTGTCCATCTGAAACCAACCTCGCCATTTCCAGGGCATTTGGGGATTTAAATCTTTTAGCGATATTCTTGTTCAAAAACTAACTCAGTTAATCTAATTTTACCTCATCAATGCAACTCTTATTGTTCTTAGATGTTTTTATAGTATCTGAAATATGAATGGAATTCTAATGTCACTCCTTAACTGGAATTAAACAAAAAACTTTCTACAAAATACTACCATCTCTTAATACTGATTAATTAATATTGTAAGATTTGGAAGGAAATAATTCAATTAAACTGCTCTTTTTTCATTTCTGTGCTGATGGAGTTTTGTTTTCTGAGCTGTGATGGATGGATCCAGCTCAGAGAACAAAATTTCACCAAAATCATCCACCTGAGCTACAAATCTTCTCCACCATCTCATTTCTGTGTTTAAAAAAATTTTTTTTTGTTTTCTGCAAAAATCTACAATTATATTGTAATTATATGTATATTGCTGATGTTATGTTTATTGAACAAGATGATTTATACAACACAACATCTTTAACATCATAATCTTGAATTACAAATATTCTTTATCATCTCAAAATTATTTATTTCTATCCATAATCTAAATAATAATGATTTATTTACTAACATTAATAATCTTCTAAGAATATTAGAATAGATTAAAACTATTTTATCTATTATATCGCTATTAAAATGTCAACAACGAAAGAGTTTATTATAAAATGATGGAGAAGATTTGTAGCTCAAGTGGATGATTTTGATGGAGTTTTGCTCTCTGAGCTGGATGGTTTGGTCGCGTATTCCATAAGTTCTAAGTGATGACTCTAGTGCTGCGAAGAATTCCAGTTTTGACGCGTCGCTTGTGTTGTAGTTTAATCCCTTTCGGAGTAGGTGTTCTATATTTGTTAGTGGCTGTTTTGTCAGGTTGACCACGCAGTTGTTTGTGTTTTCTTCCTTAGGATGTTTCTTCTTTGTTCTCTGTGTCGTTTGCATGATATCTCGATGGCTGTTGTCAAGATTTCCAAATGTTCTGACGTGAGTGTTCTTTGTAGCTTCATCTTTTGGTCCTCTATGATGTGTTGGTATTTGCGTATCCTGTAATGTGTATCCGTTACCATTAGGTGTACCATTTTTCTCCCACTACTTTGCTCAACTATTTTCCATCCCAATGGGCAGTTGATTGGAGGTCTGTATCTTACACTTGTTGGTAGAACATGCTTGCGAAGACCAAAACATCCGACTTAGAGAACAAAACTCCATCAAAAGTTTATTATAAAGTAAAACAACAATAAAAATAAAACAAGTTAGAATATTTTGGATATTTGATACAGAGATTAATAATGTTTATATTTAATAGATTGTGATAATATCATGTATTGAAATACAATCCTCAAGTATATATAATAGTCCATATTCGAAATAGTATAGTTACAAAAGTTTCAATATTGAAAATGAAACTATTATATAAAGCATAATTCTTTTTATTGTCGTTTATAATGACTCTAATCTATGTCCAATTTTCTGTTGTAAATATTTATTATTCAATGTTAGTTTTCATTATGAACTAGAATCAATTAAATAAGCATTAAAAATTCAAGGAAAGGATTAGATAATTGTTTTAATACTTATTTAAAATTATTTAGTAGTATATAACCAAGACTATATTATGGAATTAAACCATAATTTGAAAATGAGCTGGATAATTTCGGACTGTTGACTTTGAATGTTATGAATTTCACTTGCAACCAAGAATTTGATCTCTTTTTTTCCCTTCAGAGTAATTATATTCGAACGTTAATATTAACGCAAATCTTATCAAATAGCAGGAAATTTTTGATTTACTTTACTTGTATACGTAGTATTGTTTAGACATACCATACATATAGTTGATTTTATGATAGGTTTCTTGTCTGTACCATTTGGTGACCACAAATAGAAAAAAATTCCCCATGCTGTGCACTTTCATCGATAATTGAGTTTTCATTGAGATATTTGAGTAAATGCAGTTACTTCTTGATTTATATCGTTATTTATAGTTCTATATGTGAATGGAATTAAATATTGAGCGGTCGTCTTTTAGTTTCAATCTTTACTGTCTATTTTAATTTGAGTATTGCTAATCCTTTATCCAGTTGATTGATCTATCGAATGCGATCCATTTTTGATGAATTGTTCACGATTAGGATGGGGATCTGAACAATCATAAACTCTTGAGGACTATTTGTTCTACTTTTCATGTCTTTGGTAAACTTCTTATAGACTTCTGTTTTGAGATTAGATCTATAAATTGAATTTTATTATATATTTTCATTTATTTAGCCTTATGTTAAACCTACATATTATTACTCAACCTGTTGTTATCAAATTGAACTAAGTAGTAATTTAACGGAAAATAAAGTACGTAAACTATATGTTTAATATCAGAGACTCACACGTATCTTGATTATTACATTAAGATGTTTCTTTGTTCATCAGTATGTCCAGAAAAAAGCATCTATGCTTTAAAGGTGAAATAAATATTAAGATAATATCGTTTCCCTCAATTATTTTTAATAATACCTCCCCCCTTTAACCAATAGTAATTGAACCGTAAGTATTGATTACTCTTGACCATATATTGTGATAGAAAAGTTAAGCATAAAAAGTGGATTAAAGTAATTCATACTGGGAAAAAATATCATATCCCATTTACCACATTCATCAAGAACATTAAAAGATCTTAATATATATATATATAGAAGAGTATTTTCATTTCGCATCGATTGTTTCTCCCTAAATATTATACAATTATTTATGTAAACATTCTTTGAAATTTGAT